AAAGGGTGACGAGAAATACTAACAACAGTGTCAGAGAGAGATGAAGCCAGCGCGTCCCAGTGCGAGCTGGTGGTGGGGAAGTAGTCAGTGAGACTAAACCGCCTTCTTGGGAAGTTTAAGGAGTGTAGAAGGAAATAAATCTTGAACTGAGAACACATTTGTTTTGGTAAAGATGGAGTCAGTAAATTACTAATTCGGTGCTCCGATCGGGGAGGAAGATGTGGTTTCAGCCATCTTGGAGAGACCACAAGATGGAGTTACAACCGTGAAGTGGCTCTCATTCCCTTTGCTTAATAGTTCCCTTTGCAGAACATACATTCCACACAAAACTCTGGGAACACTCGGCCACTTTACAAGTGTGTGGCCTCATGCTGGGGTCTGTGGTTCAGTAAACTTACGCCTGTGTTTGGGGCCTAGGTTCGGAAATCTCAGTTGTGAGGGAGGGTAGCTTTTATTTCTCACCATCTATTTTAGGATCTGCCTCTAGTTCTTTAAGACCCAGAAGAAAGTGTAGCTGTTCGTTTTGACCAGTACCTTCACAGGGTGATGCGGCAGATGGATGGTGTTGGCTTAAGAAAAAGAACAGGGGCCAGCAAGTGGAGTGGTCGTTGAGGTGCTGGACTCCCACATGGCTGATGGCAGTTTGAGTTCCGGACCTGGTAGCTTGCTTACTATCTCTCTGTCTCTGTCTCTCCCTCTCTTTCTCGTCAGAATGAATAAATAAAATTAAATGAATAATTCTTTAAAAAAAAAAGAAAGAAAGAAAGAAGGGACCAGCAGTTGGCATAATGGCTACGTCGCTGGACTCCCATGTAGTCGACCGCAATTCAAGTCCCGGACCTGGTGGCTTAAACTCACGCCTGTCGCATGTGTGTATGCGTGCCCAAGATCCCGAGAGGAGAATGGGGGAAAAGGGATTGCGGCATGGTCATCCCCCTGGGGGGTGATTTCTCACTTTCTGTCTCTCTGTCTCTTTCTGGCGAGCGCACACACCCAATAGAACAATAACAACACCCCCCCCAAAAAAAAAAAAAAAAAAAAAAGGAAAGAAAAAGAACGTAGTGTTTCGATTCAGGCCCTTTGTACAAATTACAAGTTCGCCACTTACTAGCGCTCTGATCGACAGAAACACTGACTTTATCTAAACTTAAATCTTCTCATCTTCTAAAATAGGGATATTAGTATCTGTCAAATTAAAATGTCCATTCGTAAGTTCAAAAAATATTTACTGAGCGTCTTTGTAGCAAACACCACGTGGTGTGCTGGGGTGAGTAAGTAAGACCACGTGAGACCTCAGTCCCGAGCCTGAGTCCCATGACCTGGTAACGTGAGGCGCTGGTGCATGTTTGAGAGGTAAACAGACGTAAGTCCTTTCTTCGCGACACTCCATCACTTCAGAGATCCACCTGGCCGTTCTTCACGTACTGGTGCTTGGTTGGAAACTCACCCACGAGAGCAGCTGCTGACAGGGTAGCTGGCCCCGAGAGAACAACTCAGGCAACCGCCAGCAGCCAGCCAAACTCCTTGTCCGCCTAACCACTCCCCCACCCACCCCTACGAGAAGACAGCGGGAGACACTGTCATTGCCTGGCAGGAGCACTAAGGGTCTGCACATCTGGGGTGGGCCAGCCACTTCTCCAGTGCAGGCCGTGTGCAGGAGACAGGCTCACTGGACCTGGCACAGCCAGGGCGGCTTCCACGGTGGAGCTGGCTGAGCCCCCGTGGCGCCTGCCGTGGCCCATGCTCTGTGGCAGGGCCAGTTACAGAGGAGACACTGTCCTCCGTGCTCTCTGCAGGCCTGTGGAGCCGCTGTTCTCTGCCAAGGACCAGGACTCTGGAACGCATCCCCGCTGGTACCTACGCTGGGCGTGGCTGGCCTCACGGGCCGGAATCTGTGCGTAGCAGCCGGAAGGTGGGAGCCGCTGTGCGTGTCCACAGGCAGGACAGCCGTCAGATACAGATGGGGAGCTGCAACTGGCTCTGCTTTGGCTTCATGGTTTGAAGGGGAGAGGCCAGTGTCTAGTGCTCGCTGCACAGCATGGTGCTAAGATTCATCAGTCTTTTCTCCCTTCTGCCCCAAACGTGACTCTCAGAGATTGCCGGCAGGAGGCAGCTCACATGCCAGCCAGCTGTGGCAGGGTGTGACGCAAGAGCAGACTCTATGGCTGGCGCAAGCCTGGGTTTGAAACCCAGTGCCACCACTTCCTAGATCCGAGTCCTGGTGCAAGTCACTCAACCTCTCTGAGCCTTCATTTCTTTTTTGTTTTTGGAGAGGTTTTCATCACAGGGCCATGCACTCACCAGGCAGAGAGAGACAGAGAGACAGAAAGTGAGAAATCACCCTCCGGGGGGATGGCCATGCCGCAATCCTTTCTCCTCCCTTCTCCTCCTGGGATCTTAGGCACGCATGCACACGCGCCCGGCGTTTAGTTTTAAGCCACCGGGTCTGGGACTCAAACCGCGGTCGACTACGTGGGAGTCCAGCGACATAGCCATTACACTAACTGCTAGTCCCTCTGAGCCTTTATTTCTTAATCCATCACACAAGGCTGCTTTAAAGCCCAGTCTTCGAGCAAGAAGAGGTGGGTGCGGAAGGACCACTATAAGGCATCGCTGAGATGTGTATATGGGGAACACTGGGTCGTTGGAGAAGTCAGGATGCATTTCACATAGAAAAATACATCATGGCTTTTCTGACAGCCTAACACATCACCTAGCATGAGATAGGTTCTCAACAGTTCCCTCCCATCAGACCCTAGAATTATGTGAAGAAATGCATTTCTGTCATCTCATAAGACTTGAACCTCAGCAGCCCGAGTGTCTGAGCTGGACTCTGGCTCTTTGTGGGTATTTGACCTCTGGACAGGTTCCTTATTCTCTGCGTGGTTCAGTGTTCCCGCCGTGAAGTGGGAACAGTAGCAGGGCCCACCGGTAGTCGTTGTGAGGCTTAGTCATTAACCCACGGGAAGGACTTCGAGCCAGCTTGAACCAAGTACTCAGTAGTGCTCAGCTGAGTGGTGGGGGGCCCAGCGATGCTATTTTAGCTAACAGCTCAAAATGAAATGATAACATATTTTTTTAGGTCCAGACTAACCAAGAGAAGAGTTGACAGTAACAGTCTTCCTGATTAACTAGATTTCTCAGCACTCAAAGCACTTGATTAAAAACGTGTTGACTGAAATAATTTGAAGTGAGGCCCACAGCTTCCTGAGGGCAGAGCCTTCTTCTGAGTCCTGCGATCCTCTGCCTCCGATGACTCTCTTCCTGCTGTGTCTCTCTCAGGCGCCTCAGCATGCTGGCCTTTCTGAAATCCAGCCTTGAGGTCCCCAGGACTTCAAAGCTGTTTTCCAGGCTTGTGTCCGCTCTGGTCTGGTGCGGAAGTGCCCTCATTACCAGCTGTCACACAGAGTTGGCCTGATTGGCCCCAACCATTCCCCGCAAACGTGCCTGACCTGCTCACTGCTCCAAGTTGCTGGCCAGCCTTGGGTTGGGGTGGAGGCGGGAGACCAGCCTCTGCCATCCCGGCAGTGCTGTGCTGACCTGTCACTAGGTTGGGAGTGACCAGCATGATGAAGACCATGAAGGCAATCCTGCGTGGACCTCGTTCTCACAGAACACCTTGTGCAGGGTGATGACGTCCAGAGATTGACACAGGCCTCCGTCTCTGTGGGATGAATGAGGGAAGCATTGATTATTTGAAATGTAGGTTTATGACCCAGCATCTTCCTTTGCCTTTTATTGGCAAGATCCAAGGGTCAGGCCTGCCCTTCTGCCTGTTGGACTGTGGTGAGCTGAAGCTCGGAGCCCAGTGGTGTTTTCCTCTCCTTCCTCTCTGTCCTTTGCTTTCTGTTCCGCTGGCAGAGATGGGGTTAAGAGTTGTTGGCAGCTAATCCACCTTGGTTTGAGGCCTGATTACAGGAGCTGGAAGAATGACTGGAATTTGAGGGGGAGGGGAAAAGATACGCTGACCCTTGCAGGCCGGTGGCCTCCAAACACTATCTCCAGGTCACTTTCTCCCACTGAAGGAATAGCTGAAGTGCCCCAGGTCACCTCTCTGTCCACCCTGTCCCGTTCCTCTGACCCTGGGAGCAAGCTGGGGTCCTCAGGTCCCTGACGCTGTGGTTTTACGTTATGTGTTCTGCTGTCACCTTTCAGCCTCTTGGACACTCTCTTTTTTCTCCCTGTCCCCATCATTCTCATTCTGTTCACCGCCCCCCAACTCCACAGGTCCGAGTGCATCAACAAGTTCGCTTCGGTCTTTGGGACGATGCCCCTGAAGGTGGTGGAGCACCGCGCCGACCCTGTCCTGTACAAGGACGACTTTCCCGAGAAGCTGAAGAGCTTCCCCAACATCGGCAGCTTATGAGGGCTACCCTCCTACCAGGGCAGCAGCTTCGGGCCCAAGCCACCTGCCCCCTTGCTCCAGAACTGGAACCCAGAAAGACGACGTGAGCACTTGAGCTGGGCCCCTGTGCTGTGTCCTGTGACGTCCACCGCGTCCTTTCAGATGGCAGCCCTGGGCATGCTCCCGGTTTCCATCCCGCTCAGACGCCTTCTGTCTTCAGTCCTAGGAGAAAAGTCCAAAAGGAGGCCCGCTACAAGCCCGCCAGGCAGGGACACCTGCCAGCCCACTTGGATTCGGGAGTTGTGACAGCTCCCTCGCGTCCACTATCTCATAGCAGTGAGTGCTTCGGGGGAGCGACCAGCCAGAACCTGGTGCAGAACCCAGACATCTTAGCGGAGTTCGTCTCTGCCCTGGAACCTCGTTTGGAGGGACAGCACCAGCTGCCAAGTCAGAAGCCGCCCAGTTCTGTGAATGATTCCTCTTGGTTCGGCTTTTTGATATCATTAAAATTATTTTTTATTCCTTTTCTCCTGTCTTAAATACTGATTCTTGATAGTCCAAGGAACCGTTTTCTTCTGTTGTGTTACAGGTTAAGCATCCCTAGTCCCCAAGCCCAGAATGCTCTAAAATCTGAAACTTTGGCTGGCAACACTACAAGTGGAAAATTCCACCTCAGAGTTCACACGGACAGGGTGCAGTTAAAATACTGCAGTGTCGAGATATTGTGTGCACTTGCCTTCAGACTATGGGGATAAGATATATACGAAACACAGATGGGGACCAGCAGGTGGCATAATGGCTACATCACTGGACTCCCACGTAGTCGACCAAGGTTCGAGTCCCAGATCCAGCGACCTAAAACTCACACCAGGCACGAGTACATGTGTGCTTAAGATCCCAAGAAGAGAATAGAGGAGAAGGGATTGCAGTGTAGCTGTACCTCCTTGGGGGGTTACTTCTCGGTTTCTGTCTCTCTGGTAAGTGCTCGCACCCTATAGCAAAAATCTCTCAAAACAAAAACAAACATAAATGTGTTTCCTTTCTAGACTGGGGTCTATCCCCAAGACATCTCATTATGAAAATTCAAAAAAATATGAAACACTTCTGGTCCCAACCATTGCAAATTAGGGACACTCAGCCTGTTTAACTCCATCTCTGGCCTGACAGTGGTTTCCCGGGGAGACGCACAGCCAGGAGGAGCATCTGGCCGTGTGCACAGGCGTAAGAAGGTGCCAGATTATTAGCACCCGAGAGCAAAGGATGCCAAGGCCCTCTGAAGGGATGCGACTGTGTCCTGTATCCGCAGGGAGCCGGGGCCGCTGACAGCCATGCTCTGGCTGGTGCCGGGTGGTAGGGGTGGAGGAGTTGTGACCCCCACCCCAAGGGGACGCCAACATTTCCTTCATCCTTTTGGTATAAACTTCACACTAGCCAGGGAGGTTCTGGCTAATGTTAAGAGCTGCTGGAACAAGCACTTTGCGAAAGTCGCCGGTGTATTTAAGCCATTATGCATCGGCCTTCGGTAATACTGCACATGTGTGAAGGGTACCTCTTTAAGCCCGGCTGATGAGCAGATCCACTCTGGCGAATGTTAAACGTGGATTCGAAGCAGATTTATCTGGCTCTAATATTAAGATTAGCCACAGTTTGGGTTTTAGCCATAACATATGTCCCCAGAACACAAAATACATAACCATTTGCTTGGAATATGGATCCAATTACTGAGTCCTAGTCGCATGCCAGCCCATGAGGCGTGGACCCCACCCACCGTGGTGTCGGGGGACGTGAAGGTGAGCGGTTCCGTGCTGTGGTGTTCACGCGTGTCCCTTCAAACGTGTTCCCACCGACTTCGGAGGGCAAAGGGAAATCTCAGTAGCCGAGCCGCAAGTGGGAATCGCCACGGCGCCATCTGCTTTCATATCAGGGGCGAGGGGAGCGGGACGGTGCTGCGGCAGGCCGTCGGGCTCGTTCCTTCTGTGCTCGCCGTCCCTGAGGTGGTGATGTGCCCGGCACGGGACAGCCGCGAGCACCGCGAATGTGGGGGCCTCCTGTTTCAATCCTTGCCAGGGGTCGAGACCTCCACGCGCGGCCGCCAGGAGCCCCTTCAGGTGCGTGTGCCCTCGGCTCCTCACTGAGCGTACGTCCTCAGGGCCGTGTCTAACTAGTTCTCGCACGCCGAGTAAACTTGGCTTCTTTTCCTTTTTTTCTTTCTTTGCACCATGAGCCCTTTGATTTCAGAGGAGAGCCCTTTATCCAAGCTCATCGTGAGCCCAGGAGCTGTGTGACTTTATCACCTTCCAAGGAGTTCTCGAACCCCGTTTACCCTCAGTCCTCCAGTGTCGGGGATTAGAACATGCCATGCAGCGTGAAACAACTTAGGTTCTAAAGCGGACAGGATACTCTAGGCCCCGGAAACAAACCTCAGAGGCTCTCCCCTGTGAACAGACAGGTGGGATAGTCATGGTAGACACACAGGGACTCGCGGAGTCCCCTCTAAGTGTATTTCTGTGCCACAACCAGCAAGTCTTGCCAGCCAGCCTGGGTCAGGACCATCTGCCCTTGGCATGCCACAGTGCCTGGTTTCAGAAGCGGAACAATAATGCTAATTAAAATGTCATGTTCTGGCCTACAGCAGACAACAGCTGGTTTTAGATTAAGAAATCTTTTTAAAGCGATTGCGTCCTCCCGGCCTCTAGTGAAGACGAACTTGGACTGGCCCTGGCCCACGTGCGTGCTCCAAGCCCCTGCCTTCATCCTCAGGGACTTAACCTACATGGCTCTGCTCGGAATGCCAGGGTTGGACATTTTTTTTTTCCTTATTAACACAAGATAGTTCTTAATATTTCTATCTCATGTGTTCGACTAAACCTCACACTTAAGTGAAAAGCTCCTTTTCAGAGAAAATGAATAGAGGAAAATAGCAACTTCGTCCTCGGATTCTTGGTTCTTTCTTACCAGTGCCATTCTGGTGTCTCCTGTCCTTCCTGAGGGTCAGCAGGTTCAGAATTCTGACCAATCTGGCTTCTCTGTACACTGCCAGCTGTGCTTTGAACTCATGGCTTTTAGGTGCCGGTTTCTCTCCTGCCTTTGAAAGAACACCCTGCCCTGCAATGGCTGGGCCAGGGCCACCACCCTGCCCTGTGATGGCTGGAACTAGGCCCTGAAGAGGCCAGCTCCCATGGCTCCCACTGGCCGAAGGAGATGCTAAGAACCTGTAGCCCCAGTTTCATCCCAGGATGATGGTCCAGACAGGCACCAGGCCAAAGAGGAGGTCAGCCTGTCCTTGTCACTACAAGACTCACAGTCACAGGGCTCCGAAGTCGTGATTTGGGGTTAAAGTCCAAGAACCCTTGTGGGCTTTGGCCAAGTTGCAATTGAGGAGACAGAGCAGAGGCTGGGACTAGGGTGTGATTGGGTTCTGGCGAGGCTCCCCGGCTCCGCAGCCAGAGGTCCTGTGGGGACCCGTCAGGAGGGGAGAGGCCGGGGAATTGGTTCCCATCCACCACTCACCTTGAGCCTGGTGGCTTTCTTCTGCTCTGGGGACTGTAACTTCTTCAGGGTAGGCTGCTTGCTCCATCTTTCTTGGCACAGGTGTTCTTTTGTCGCAGCAAGAGAAGCGCCAAGAGGCTGTGCTCCAGCAGCCCTGGCCTGGACAGGCAGCCGAAATGCTCCGCTGGCCCGAGCCCCTTCCAGCCGCTTCGAGCAGCAGCCCTGGAAGGTGCGCCGACCACATTGGCAGGCGCCTCCTGGCCAGGAAGGCCTTGGAAGTGACTCGAGCTTTCCACTGCAGAGCCTGGAGGCCGGTGAAACCTGTGGGGCCCACCCTGCCCACCTCACCCAGAGCTCTGTCCGAGCCCCAGGGCCCCCGTCCTAGGCAGTCTCCCATTTTCCACTGCTGAGTAAAACCAAGGGCGGCATATGCTGGCCATGCGCGGCCTGGCTCTGGGGACAGGCTCCATGGAGTCCTGACAGGGAACTCGCCCCGTGTCATGTGGGGGCTGCGAGTTCACCGGAAGACTGGGTGAGAGCTCTCTAGGCGGAGCCCTCCACCTCTCCTCCCTCGGAAAGGACTGTCAGGGCGCCCGAGCTCCAGGCTCTGCTCCCAGGCTCTCCGGGAGGGCGCGTGAGTCTGCGCGGCCAGCATGGCTCCACGGCCTCTCATTTCAGGCTCACCGTTCCTGGCGACGACGGGAGCTGACCAGGGAAAGTTTGACCCCTTCTCCCGGCTCTCCAGCCCGCTTCTCAAGAAATAGTTGAGTCACCCGTGACTGTCTGGCACTTCGGTTCCTCAAATTTGCAATCTCTTGAGAGCAAAGCTCTTAACTGGTTGGACCCTGGTTGCCTCTCTTCCCACTCCCCCCAGGGACACCCAGGTCTCGGCCAGAGGGCAGGTGGCTCTCGCGTGGGTCCAGGTATCTATGTCTGCTGGAGGCTTCCCTAGCGGAACGCCGTCCTGTACAAGCTCTCGGGATCGTCGCACGGAATGGGAACAGCCAACAGAGCAGGGATTCAGATGTCTTAGTCTAAAGCCACCAATCAAGCCACGCTGCCATCTAGAGCCCCGCCTTCAGAGTGTGTCCTTCGGGCTTTGTTTATGAGCGCAGACTTTCTGGTTGGCTAGTATGCCCAAGGGTAAACTCAAGGCACGTTTGTGTTCAGGTGGGCACAGATAAAGAACCAACCTACATGTCACTGCTCCAGGTGGGATAAGAAGGTGTTTATTCAGCCCTTCAGGTATTCTGTGTGTTCAGTCATCCAACAAGATGTGCCCTCTGCCAGCCAGTGAGCTAGACTCAGGAGTGGAGAGTGAATAAGGCCCTGCCCTGTTCTCGCAGGGCTCCAGCACTAGTAGGAGTTACCGAGCTGTGGAGGGTGGGCGTCCGCCAGCGACCCAGGACTCTGAACGTAGATGTTCTGGTCCCAGCTGTGGGTGAGGATTCCATTAGCCCCATCACCTCTGTAGGCGGAGGGTAAAGGAGGTGAGGATTCTATTAGCCCCATGTCTCTGTAGGTGGAGGGTAAAGGAGGTGAGGATTCCATTAGCCCCATCGTCTCTGTAGGTGGAGGGTAAAGGAGGTGAGGATTCTATTAGCCCCATGTCTCTGTAGAGGGAGGGTAAAGGAGGTGAGGATTCCATTAGCCCCATCACCTCTGTAGGTGGAGGGTAAAGGAGGTGAGGATTCCATTAGCCCCATCGTCTCTATAGGTGGAGGGTACAAGGAGGTGAGGATTCCATTAGCCCCATGACTCTGTAGGTGGAGGGTAAAGGAGGTGAGGATTCCATTAGCCCCATGACTCTGTAGGTGGAGGGTAAAGGAGGTGAGGATTCCATTAGCCCCATGTCTCCATACGCGGAGGGTAAAGGAGGTGAGGATTCCATTAGCCCCATCGTCTCTGTAGAGGGAGGGTAAAGGAGGTGAGGATTCCATTAGCCCCATCGTCTCTATAGGTGGAGGGTAAAGGAGGTTTCTATTAACTGCCTTTGCTCGGGACACCTCCCTCCTACCTTGGCGGAGTTCATGTCCAT